GTTGTAATTATATAAATATTTTTTTTATTTAATATCAATTTTAATAATTAATGACTAAATTGTTCATCACAATTACATTTGTGACTATTTTTTGTGACTCAATTGTAACATTTGTGATGAAAATTATTGTAACAAAAAATATTTTTTTGTAACGAATAAAATTGTTATAAATAACTTGTTAACAATATCAATTTTTTCTATTACTATAAGATTATTTTTAATGATAAGTACCTAATTTGTCACTAAGAGCATTAATGACAAGAGTTTTATTAACAGTTTAAATTTTATCATTAATAATAATTTGTAATAAAAAATAAAGATTTAATGATCAATAATTTAGCCACTAAACATGAATTTTCTTGTAATGATTGTACCCTTGCAAATATAAATAGGTGATTAATTAAATTCAGGTTTAATCTATGAACTTAAGGGGTTTTTGTTCTTTATTTGTTAACGTGAGTAATTAGTGCATCCGTCACCCTGTAATACACTCTTGTGGTCCCTCCCAATTTTTTTCTTCTTTGTTAGAATTTAGAAGGAAAGGAGTAAAGAGGACACACATCGAGTCAAAGACGTCACTGTCCACCAAGGCCGGTCTTCGAAACCGTTTTCTATGGGTTTTTTTGAACATAGATAATTCGGTGGTAAGGGGAAGGGAAAAAGATGTGGGTTGAACCCGATATCTCTAGGTGAATGGTTCTTTAATGATGTTGAGGTGACCACTTGGATCATCTTGGGCTTTTCTTCTATAGGTTATTACAACAGTCGTTGATATAATTCCGATTATAATAGTAACAAAGTTTTTTTTCTTTTTTAATAGGATATATTAACTAGTTGAAATCCAAAAAAGAGACGAGGAAAAATTGAGGTTTGAATCCTAATCATACAGATACAAAATAGATTTTTTTCAATAATTCAACTAATTACTTTATAAGTTAAATTCTATACACTAACAAAGTTAAGTAATGGAATTTTATATATATATTGGGTGAACCATATTAAATGTATATTTGAAATTGTAGTTAAGACATTTTTCTTATAAACGTAAAATATTTTTAAATATATATGTATTTAATAATTTTTTTAAAATATTTTTCTTTATATATTGGGTGAACATATTAAATGTATATTTGA